TCTCACCTTGCTTTTCTATTCCAATATGTTGATCCCATTTGAGCATTTATGCAGAATGATCAGAAATAGCTGGATCAAATACGGTTATATTAAGTAATCTGAAATCAATATTAGTAATTATATAGTCAATTGATGTTTTTGTGATAAAGTTGCCATATTTTGCTATACGAGTTGCCACTGATATATGAGATTTCAACTGAAAACATTCCAGTGCGTCAGATAATAGTTTTAGTTTGTTTGAGTTTACAAACCCATCAATATTTATATCACCACCTATAATAATCTGTTTATGTTTTATAGTAACACAATTTAGCATTTCAAAAAAAACGTTCAAAAAATATATCTACATCTCCATCTGGTGACCTATAAATAGTTAAAATACAACAAAGGTCTTTTAAAGTGACTCCAGCACATTCGAAATTTTTTTCTGAGTTTAGATGTGTTAAATAATTTATTTTTACACAGGTATTGCGAAGATTGTTTTTTACAAAAATTGCTACACCTCCACCTGGTTGAGAACATCTTGAGTAACCAGAAATTAACTTGTAGTCCATTAAACTGAGTACGTTGAGTTTATCATCGGACGCCCAATGTTCGGAAAAACATAATATATTTGGGGAGTACGTATTTGTAAAGACATCCAACAGATTAATTTTTGCTGACAAACTGTGAACATTTAAATGACATAAAGTATAAAAAGGCACATCGGTATTAATTACTTCGTTATCTTCCACAATGGCATTTTCATTGTTGGTTTCTTCGAGGAGAGTATCTGTTAAACTTAGAATATTTGTTAAAGTTGCACCTTCTACGAAAAATATACTCGCTAATTTCTATTCCTTTGGGCCATGTTTCTGGTTTAAAGAGAATGTCCTTAAGTTCTGCATCGGCAGTGATTCTAAACGAATTTGATCCTATAACTTTGTTTTCAAACAAACTGCATGAAAATTCATGACCAGGAAATTTTGATTCCAAGTAATTTTGCATCTTTTCCAACGTGTAGGATTGTTTGTATTTGGAGGCATACACCCAAACTTTTTCAGTTGATACAACATCCTCGCTTTCAACATCTTCACCTACAATTTTTGGTTGTATTTGGCTATTTTCACCCAAATTTTGTATTTCGTTCATTTTTTTGTGTGAATGGATTTGTAATAGTGCAGATGACATCTGTTGGTGCGTGATTTTTTCTTTGTTTCTCTCTTTGGAGTTTCTTGGTTGTTGGTTATTAATTAAATTGCCATTACCTAAAGCATCTGGTTTTTGAGAAACAGTGGCAACTGCGCTTTGGTTGCTAGCCAAATTCACAATCCTCGCATATTCAGATTTTGATGACACTGTGGTAACAGCGCTTCGGTTATTGGTATTTGGACCATAGTTAACCTCCAAATTTTTCCGATTTTGTAAAAGACTAATTATGAGTTCTTGGTTATTAATAGTTCGTTCTAACTTACTTAATAAACGTTTTGAAGCATCTAGTTCCACAATACATGCTATTGTCCAGTTCCGCCGGTAAAAATTTAAAATAACTTATTCTGCGAAACACCACTGGCAGATAAACATAACCGCGAAGTTCTCGAAGTAGTCCTACGTGGTTTGACGTTCACCCCCTATCTACCTAACAAAAGCCTTTCCAACTTCTGCCCCTGTTATACGTACGAGTATGACGCCTGTTTTGCCCTGTTATAAAATTGTGTAATTTCCTGAAAATTACATTAAACTCAGCTACAATAATAGTTTTAACCACAAAAATACATTAAACTGATAATATCTGGCATTAAGAATGCAAATAAAGAGAGCCGTTTGTAAATTTTAGAGTATTTCATAGAAAAATTCCGAACTATAATCACAAACAACATATTTCTACATAGACTATTCGGTAATATTTTGGCAACTATGTAGATAACAACTTGAATGCATGAAATTCGCATTTTGTAAATAAAATTGGTCTAGTAATTATTTGTCATTGAAGTATCTATAGCTACAAAACAAGAATAGATGACAAACTATCCGTTGTCCCCAATTTTAGTTCTTGGAGTATTTTGCTTCCGTTAAGAAGATTCCCAATTTCAAATCAGCAACAACGGCTAGTTATATAGATGATATTAAAAAGGTGAACTTTCGGAATATCTTGTTTTATTTGGTTTCTTAAATATTACTTTCTCTGTGATCTTCTGTTAGAGCTGTTAGCTGAATGAATTCATCTTATAACCTAATAATTAGGTAATACCATTATTGAATTGTTTTCTTATTGGACACAGCCGAGTTTTCTACAATCTAAAAAAACAAATTCAGTGCGCATACCACTTAGGTTACTTTTTTAAATCGGCCCTCAATTTTTGGATTTTCTGATATGAATGATTTCCTTTATTTTATTTCCGATCCTTCTTCTGCCTTTCAGCTGCCTATATAATATTCCTTTAAATATTCTTCGCTCTCATATTTCAACAATCCTGCAATATCTAGGCGTCGTCAAAGGAGATACGAACTTTTCTGGTAACTTGGTAGTCATTTTCCAATTGAGAGGTAACCAAAGTTTAATAGAATCGATTTATAAGAACCGACATATTTAAGGAACCCGCTATTGATATAGGCTATCAGTCTGGTTGCAGCGCAACATTGAAACACAGTATCCTGTTTTGTGGAACATTGCTGAAAAATACCTTATCGCTTTTCCATCATCATACAGTAAACGCCAAATGTAAAGAACCAAGGACGCGCATTTATAATGCTACGAACACGCCTACCGATGAATAGAATTAGTTGCGTACCTAGAAAGTTGTAAACCAGAGGCGCGTATATTTTAAGACATTTTTGTAATCAGGGTGTTCAACCCTTTCAAATGATATATCACATGACCTATGTTGCTATTTAAAAAAATCAAGATGGCGGCCATGCTTAAAATTTTGTAATCATAAAAAAAAAATTTTTGGGCTAAAATATGCGTAAATATATTTAGTTAAAATTCTGAAATTTTGGGTTTTGTGTGTTGAACCGTTTAAGCACTCTAGGTTTGGTTCCATCTTTAACAGCTACCCTGTATATTAGAAATGTAAATGAGTCACATTTGAAGAAGAAGTTGTACTTAGAAACAATTGTCGTGCCATTTTTAATTTTTACATTGTGATAACTATCATTATCACAAATAATTACTGAATTAGGTGGAAGATTAGGTATTAACTTCTCTCTTAACCATTTGCCGTAATTTTCCGAATTCATTTCGGAATGATAATCTCCAGACTTGGTCCCTGATTTGAATATCAACAAACTATTTTTGATAAAACCCATTTCTCCCCCACCGTGAACTATAATAAGCCTTTGGCCTTTAGAAATAACAGAAAACAAACCTTTTGTTGAATCGTCTGTCCAATTCTTGGAAGAAGTATATCCGCTGTGTATATGTTTCATCTAAATAAACGATTGGTCTATTTTGACTTCTAAAATATTTTATCTGTCTCAAATATTTTACTCTTAAAGTTCTTATTTTCATTTTTTTTACCAAATTTTACGATTATTTTGTGTTTTTCTCCATTTAAATTGAAATTTTTTAAGGACTCTTCTTAATGAAGTTTCTGATATGTGGATATCTAAATCTTCCTTAATTTTATTATTTAACCTTTTAACAGTAACACGAGACTTTCTGTTACATGAGAAATCGTAAATTATTCTTCGAATATCCCTCAATTTTGACGAAGTTTTTTCTGTGTGAAAAATATAAATTTGGAGTTGTTTCCATTGACTGTTTACCTTCCTTCAAAATTCTTTTAACGGTAATATAAGAAACACCTGTAAAAACGTAATATTATATTAATGTTAAATTTAGTATTTTTTTACATTTATTAGGAAACAAACATTTTTAGAAACAGAAGATAAATTTTAAAAATTTAAATATAAAATATTAATCAAAAATAAAATGCATAGATATGTGTATAAAATACAAAAAAATATGGAAAACTACGCAAGTTTAATTGCAAATAAACTACAGAGTATGTTCACCTGTTGCTTGTGCAGTTTGAAGTTTTATATCATCTAAAGTAACTCCTTCCTTTTGTATTGCGTCAAAATATTTAAAAACATTATATTTTACTTCACGACTTTGTCCGTTAATAACAGATCTGCGCTTTTTTTCACCCACAATAGAAGACATTATCCATAAAACCAGTCACTTTAACCAAAACACAGAAACAAGAAACAAACAATGATCTAGTCGTTACGCTAGTGACCGTAAGCAAGGACAAGGATCAAATTGTGAATGGGCGTAGCGATTTTTAAGTAAACGAACTTAAGCATTTGCGCTGGTTCTTTAGATTTGGCGTTTACTGTACCTAGTCGAAAAAGGCTTTAGTGTGATTAGAAACATTTTGATAAAACAAAGAAACCGTTTGAAAATTACCGAACGCGGAGATTTAAGGCACCAATAATAAACCAGATTTAGCTAGATTGGTAGAATCCATCACACTGAATTTTTTATTTTTCTTTACTTTGCGATTTTATTTTTTTTTTAAATAATTATCTACTTATGTAGTTTTACATAATTTGTATTAATAATAATTAATTACACTTGATATTTACTGAATTTCATGTCTATTTATTTTGATAAATTTTGATGACATTTAACCAACCGCAAAATTTTTAAATTGCTAAGTATTTTGTATCAATAAGAAAAAACTAGAGATAGGATTTTTAAAGTAATTTAACTGTGGGGGTCTGAGGTATCAGTTCATTTTGGAAAATGGGTCTCTTGTTCAAAATAATTTGGGAATCCCTGATATAGAGCCATATAGTTTTGAAACCACGATATTTTGATCCTTTTCTGGTCACCACTTCATTGAGAACATTTTTTAAAAATTAGTACAAAGCTATGTAAATTAATTGAAGAAAAATGAACGAAGTGAGATGAGAAATATGGTTCGGGTGAGAAAGTTGGCTAGAATACTGTCTAGACATGTTTGATATAATTTTTAATTTAAAATCAAATTGGTTAAAAATTATTTAATTACCTGCAACACCCAACACATGGAAATGGACCTTCTTCAATATGATGCGGTTTTGGTCCAAACACAAGAGGTGTTTCGGAAAATATTATTTCTCCAGGGCTCAAATCTCTAGTAGCTTTTAGATATCTGCCAAGTTCTTTTGAGTAGGCTTCCTAAAATTGTTAAGTTCAACTAACCATAAAATATGATATTTTAATTATTAAAGAAGAAAATAGTATTAAAAATTTTAAAACAATTTTTTTTTTTCACTAAAAAGTTATTTTTGCTTTGTATCAACTTTTCCTAAGTCATGCGTTTGATTTTAATGCTAAATGTGTTTTGGGGCATTAAAACTATTGAGGAAATAAGCAGTTCTTCCTGATATTCGTTAGTGATAAAGGCCACATTAGGGTGACGTGGTAAGCCAAAAGGCAATTATGGTTTATTGTAGGGTATGCTTTTAGATGAATGCATTCTTAAAAATAATAAAAATAAAATATAAGTTGTCCCTTAATCTATATCTGTAATCATTATTTTACAGATTTGATTGGATTTTGAACGAATATATAGCTAACTTACTTAAAAATACATTATTTTAAGACCAAAAATCACTAAAATTAAATAATGAAAGTTTCAAAACAAAGTAAGCGAGTAATTTACTTTGACTCATTTTTTACGTCATTACTAATACGCTGCATTAAGAATGTTAATTGTATTTTATTTTAAATACAACCTCAAAAGGTCTACATGTTGTCTTATGTTCCTTCCAATGTTCTTGATGATGTTCCGTGCTGCAATAAAATATTAGTTTGCATGCTGAACATTTTCTTTTTGATGGAGCTTTACATATTTCACAAAAACCACTTTCTTCTTTATTTTCAATGGGCATTTTTAGAAT